CCCACAGGCCTATGCCTGATGGACGTGCGCCCCCAGGGTTGGCTGTGCCTGAACCTTGCCCCCAAGGTAGGCCCGGGTCCGCGCAGGACTAACGTTTGGAGCCTGGGCCTCCGGCCGGGGAGGGGAAAAGGGGCGCGTCATAGGCTTCCGGTCCGGGAGACTGACCCTTCGCCTCCTTCCGCAGCGGGGCAGCAAATTTAGGGAAGATTGTCCTCAGGACCGTGAGGAACTGGGCCGCCACAGCTGGGCCGTCCTACACACCCTGGCCGCCTACTACCCCGACCTGCCCACCCCAGAACAGCAGCAAGACATGGCCCAACTCATACATTTATTTTCCAAATTTTACCCATGTGAGGAGTGTGCAGAAGACATAAGGAAGAGGTAAGTTACTCTGTACCGCCTGCAAACCGCTGAGCATCCCACCTGGAGCCTGGGCCCGGGCCCTTGACGGATGTCATAAAGGAGAGCCTCAGAGAAATAGGTGCAGAAATGGCAGAGAGTTGCCAAGAGCAGGGACAAAACAGTGGGGATTGGATCATCGGCCATCTTTCTACTCAAAGGGCAAGCAGCCTGGGGCCGTCTGGCACCCATAGGCCTTTCTGGATGTCAGGGGCAAGGCAGCCCTTGCCTTCTGAGGCCTGAGCAGTTAAAAACGGTCTCCTGTCTCCTGCTGAGTGGAGGCACCAGGGCCCCACGTGCTGAGAAACTGGTCTGGCTCTTAGGTCAGCCTTTGTGCAGGCCCCGCCCTTTCCACACCGCTTGGGGCCAGGGAAGCTGGGTGAGGCTTCCTGATTGTTATGAGGTTGTAAAGTTGCCTGATCTGAGTTAATGTCTTGCCCTGGGCTCTTGTGAGGGTTTATCAAGCTCCCTACGTGAGGTTTTGAGCAGGCCTAGGAGTCCACCAAGCCTGGACACTATGGGGTCAGCCCCGTTCTGGGAACTCCCATCTCTCAGAACATGAGATACACCTGGGTGTAGCTTACAGCAGCATCCCATCTCTCTCTGAATTGAGCAGGCGGGGCAGTGGACCACTGCCCGTCAT